TGATTGTTTATTAAATGTAGGTTCAATTGATAATTTTAAAAAAAGACATTTAAATAAAACATCAGTAATTTAAAGCATTACATATAACTTATCTGGAATACAATATTGATTTTTTAAAAATGGTAAAAGATTTAAATTCTTGCGACCTAAAGTATTACAAAAATTTTTATAATCTAAGTCTATATTCCAATGATCAGTATTCTTACAATTGCAATATAAACAAAAATAAGTAGTAGTTGGTCCTTTAACACCAAGTACTAGTGATATAAATTGCTGATTAGCGTCAAACCAAAACTCAATTGGCCAATGATTGTTGTTTAAATCGATAATTCTTAAAGTTAATAGTTCTTTAATTAAAAAATTAAAAGCCTGCAGAAGAGATTCATACTGTTCTATACCTGTGTAAAGAAAAATACAATGTTGGCTTAATGGACTCAAAACTGCTTCATGTTGATTTAATATACAGGCAGTAAATATTATATAATTATGATGTTTATCTACCTGCCGTCCATCCCTACTTAATTTAATGTGAACAACATCCCTTATTTTTAATACTGATGAATTTCCATATGCTAACTTAGAAATTAAAACATTTAGAAAATCTTTAAGTAAACGATAAGCTCCATTAGGTGCTAAAAAATTTATTTGAACTGGATAAACTGAAATCATATCATTTATAGTTTTAGTTATTTCTTGTCGACGCTTTTCAACTTTATATTCTCATTCCATTTTGGGCATAACAGCTGCAAGCTTATGATATCCATCATGAGAAATTAAAAGTTTATCACATGCTCGAACTATTGAATCTAAAATCTGTAAATTGGATTTTTCGAATTAACATTCTGAAATTTAATAAGAGATTCATCTATATTTAATTCTACATAGTCTAATTTTCTAATATAAATTTGTGTAGATCAATTCTACTACAAACGTCATAAGCTAAAGTTTGAAGTCTGCTCTTTTTTTGTAATTTGGATTTAAGCTAATGAAAAGGTTTATTTTTTTGGATTTGAACTTGGCTGTTATTAATCTGTCTTTCTTTTAAGCATTCAAGATCAAATCCAAAAAGTATAATTCCAGAAAGTGCAGACTTGTTATTAGTGTTGTGAGAGGCATATCTCACCTATATTATTATTATTAGATGATATTTTGCTCTATTCTATTTTTTTTTATATTATTTTACACTATGATATTATATATATATATTTTTTTATTCTACTATTTTGTATTACCCGGTCTCTTTCCTATATAGAAGAACCCATGCTATCCTAAACTTGATCCAAGGATCAAGTGTCTTTTTTAATTAGGCCATTACGACATTTTGGTACTATTAGCTCATTTCGTACCAACTTATTAGTATATGACGTTCTTGAATGTAAAAATTGGTACTTTCCAGTACCATTCTTTGCCCTTGGTACCAAATTATGTCATATTAACATCAAAAACTGTGTCAGACCATCTAAGATGCAGTAATATAAAAAAGTATTTTTGCAATTGAAATAACTCAGTTTGCTTTGTGTGAAAGAAAAGAACTCATTTTGAGTTGAAGTTAATTGAGATCTTTGAAGTAATAGAAGTCAAGTGGTGACTTATTAAAAATTGTTACCTTTCGTCCGTCAGTTTTGAATTCCAAATCGCTAAAATAATTCAGTGTTATACATACAGTCTAAGCCCCAATACTTGTAAAAACTTGAATTATAATAAACAAATAATACATAGAAAGAATTAGTAAAAGAATAATACCCATTAATTGCTTTATATAGAGAAAATACCCAAATTAGGTTTAGAACCCATTGTTACCAAAAATCATCCAACAATTAAAGGCTAGCCCATGACCTCATTATTATTACATATTAATTGATTTGATTATCCCAAATTCCCATAACATACTAAACCTGTGATACAATAATTAATTAAAAATCCAATCTCTGTCGATAATTCTATCCTTGACGTAAAAATTGATTATTGATCTAAGCCAAACTTTGAATTACCAATCAACCCAATACTTGTGACTACGTAACCCGTGACCCGAAACTAGTAGCATATTCAAAGGAAAGAATAATATAATTAGTATTGAGATATTTGAAATACACAAAGGTAACAATAAGCCAATAGTAAAGACAAGGATACTTAAATACTTTCTAAAGATATCACTATAAGGTCAAAGCTTCAAGAACTCGGACCAAGTTTCTCCATGCCTCTTTATGAAGCCTACCACCTTGAACTTTCAATCTTATCGATACTTGGGAGTAGTGTAGTTTGTTAGATTAGTTAGTTTAGTTGTTAGTTAGATTAGTTAGAATAGATTAAGATCTGTATTACCTGATTTTATCAAATTCTGGTTAAACTTGACTCTTCTCAGTTGGTGGTAACTATGAGATACTTACTTCAAAACACAACCACCATACCTTAAAAAAAAAAAAGGAAAAATGTCAGATTTGGATCACTTTGAGGATAACAGAACGATAAATGGAGAATCTGAGCATCTGCCAGCTTATCAAAACTAAAATATGAATCCTGTACATGCTATTTTGAGAGAAATAGCTCAAGCCTTTAGGGTTGTCACCGTTCATGACGTTTTACCCAACCCCAGAGAAAATAATTGAGTACATGTTAAAACTTTCAAAGGTGAAGAGGATGAAGATCCAATTAAATGGATTGAAGCCTTTAAAAGGGCCGCAGATGCAAATAATTGGTCCCGGGCAAAAAAAATTAAAATAGCATCAGGACATTTAGCTGGGATCGCAGCCAGCTGGTATAGCGATAATAAGGACAATTTATTGTTCTGAGAAGAAGAAGGTAACCCAAAAGACAGTTTTGTCTTGGCATTCACCAAATACTTCGCAACCACCGAACGAAAACATATATGGCAATTAGAATTGACTTCACTTACCCAAAATGAAGATGAAAAGGTAGATCGATATGTTTACAAATTTAAAAGCCTATTGAAAAGAGTTGATCCAGGCAAGGAAATACCTGCTACTTATGTCATTAGAATGTTCATGGAGGCCTCCACGGTAGGACAGCTGCCTTAATGTTAGCAGATGATTTTAAAACCCTAGACGAAGCAATTGCCAAAGCAAGAAAAATTAAAGCTAGCAATTACTATAAAACAAAGAAAAATAATAAATCTAATGAAAAACTTATCGATAATTTGACAAAAAAATTACAACAAATGGCTGTCAATTATAAAATGTTAACCATCAACCTTGCCGCCCAAGTTGAAATAAGCCCTCAATCAACTCCATCTAGACACAATCAATATCAACCTCGAATGCTATAATTGCGAAAGAAGAGATCATATTGCCCAGAACTGCCATTTCGAAAGGCACCCAAATCTTCAACAATTACTTAGGAACTTCTGCAGTCCCACTTTACGTGCCAGGAATGTCAATTTATGTGATATATATAATTATACAGGGGCAACCATCCTCATTATACAAATTACGAAAATCTCTGATCAGGTGATAACCAATCAAAAGCGTGAATTTTCGTAATAAAAATCGTAGGTTAAATGTAAAAAAT